TTTCACCCTCTCGACATTCCATACATAATGAATTGATGACATATATAAAATTATGTTTGTTTTTAAATTTTAAAAAATAAAAAATATTATTTTAATATAACTTAAAATTAAAAAACACTTAAAAAATAAAAGCTCAGACATCCGAAAAGGGTAATTAAATGGAGTTCGTTCTTGCGACGTGATCGGCGATCGCAGATGCTTTTGCAAATTGATTTCAGCTGGAAAAAAGCTTAAAAATTACAGGACTGAACATGCCTTGTCTCCTCACCATATCCTTCACGTACACAAACAAAAGAAAAGACCTCTCGAGACAGTATATCATTGCCGTACCTCATTAAGCTTAAAGTGTCTCATTTATTTCAGATCCCAATGCAATCCCTACCTGCTCTTTCTTCTTTTGCTTTAGACCCCAGAAACGCCAAAGTGTTGGATCCATGTGCCATGAAATCTTTTGAAATTCGACCCCTTTCCCTTCCCTCCGTCATGATAGAAATGAAAATAAAAATCCATGGAGAAAATATTCTTCATTTAACGGGACAGATAGACAGGATGCTTTTGGGGGGTATGAGCCACGACAAAGTGAATTGTTCCGTTATATGATCAGATTTCATGTTAAAAAAGACAGAGCGAGTGGCAAGGAGAAAGCTCCAGCTTGATATGAAGCTACTCTCTCGGGGTTATGCTGCCATCTTTATTTGCGTTCATGCCTGTGAGAGCATGTGGGAAATTAACTATATATATCTGCTATGTCCTTTGATCTGGACCGTTTCAAAAGAGAATTAAAGCCCTTCCAGGGATTCCTGGACTGTTAATAATAGCAAAAAGGAAAGGGGAAAATGCTGCTGCGCGTTGTATTACTAGCTTGCTTGCTTTACCGGGTCCGAAAAACAGATTGCTACTTGCTTGGAGGAAATAAGGAAGCGAGTCGGAGCAAGAATATGCTGCCTGCCTAGCTACAAATAGTGGGAGTAAAAGGCGAGCAAATACACCATGCAGCAACGCTATAAAAGGGGACCAATGTGACTAAATCATGATTAGCTCCAGATATTCATACGTGTGTGTGTCAATTAATGCTATAAAAGATCCCGTGCTTTCATGGCTTTGCCTTTTGGGAATAAAGGTAAAGTTCTCTCTCCGATTTCATACTGAAATAAACTGTTGATAAAGTATAAACTCCTCGAATCCAGATTGCATAATTCTGCTTTGATGCTTGTATGCTACTGTTGTTTTCCCATTATTATGCAGCAACTTTACGAGAAAGTAAAGAGTTAAGTCCTGCTTTTACTCCCTTTTATGATTTCTTTTGGGCAGTAAATAACACATGACTCAAATTCAAACGTTGTTACGAAGAAATTATTAAACTTTATGTTTCCACTTGAATTTTTCTTCCTCCCACAGTCGCAAGCACACAGAGAAGTCCTCTTCTTTTTTTTTCCTGTTCGCGACCTTAGTAGTTAATAATACTTTATTTTTAAAAAATTATTCTCAATACTCGAAACAATTTAAAAATATATAAAAAAATAATTTAGCTACTAGTTGATATATAATTTAATGCGCTTAGGAATTTAAGTCTTTGACACCATGGCTTCCTTGCCTTGTCGGGCTAATCCTAGCTAGTGACGTGATGAACATAACTTGGATGATACGGCGCAAAATTGATCATCCGTGTTTGGATGGAAAAAAACAACATCAGGAAAGGGTTCCAGATGGTTTTTTTGCTTAAAAAAGAAGGAACGAAAATATAATTTATGCTCGCAAAAGATAAAGCAGAAGGGAAAACATCATTTTCATCCCAAAACACATTGCTTGTTTCCAATTTCATCCAAAGCAAGTAATTTTATCAATTTCATTTCTAATGTATAAGGTTTTTCTCAGTTAGATACCATCTAAACTTTTCAATTTTTCCAATTGACAAAAGTCAAATTCAAAACGTTATTATCTTATTGCATAGGTACCAAAAAAAATAAATCTATGAACATGTATGGAAGGACTTGATTGTGAAAAGTCTACAAAAAACAAATTGAAAATCCCATTGGTTTGAAACCCGATTAAGAATTAGTGAATAGGTTTCGGATTAATTTGAGGTTTCTTAAAAAATGAAAGAACCTGGAAGTGGTGGAATGGGCAATGAGTAGCTAGCAAAATTTCGAGGTCAAAGCACATGCCAGGAATTGTCGAAGCTAATAGAACCCTCCAAGTTTGAGCGGCGAGAACGCCGCCGAGGGAGTTCAATGGGACTCGAAAGTCGGAGGTAGACAATTTTAGGAGCTTGGACAAGTTTTGTACTGCAAGTCTACAAGCTAGACATGTGGCTATATTTTATTCCTGGCTCTGAAAAAGATTGTCTTCCTCTGTGACACCTTCAATCAACAGGCTTGAAATTCGACGCCACCCTCTCCTTAAGAATAAAAAAGAAGAAAAAGAAATTTCTTGCCACATGAAACGAGTCCGAAACCTAAAACGATCTGACCCATGCCCAGTTACTTTGTCTTCACATTTCAAGCCGTGTTGAATATGTTGTCCTTTTTTAGACGGGCCGTGTTGAATTACGTCTCCCCTCGATCCTAGCTACGAAGAATTGTTTAATACACCTATGGTTGAATCTTCCTCTCACGTGAAAATAGAACCTTGGATGGATGCGCGCGCGCCAGATTTCTCATGGTAGGACACAGAGTATGACCGAGAATGGAAAGACAAGCTAGCCTATCCTAGTGTCGAGGACCCCTGGACTATGACACTTGCATTGTTTTGTCCCTCCTCGGACAGGGTTTTTGTAGACTGGGCAAAGGTTACCTAACGAAATTGCAATCTCGTTTGTTTGCTCGGGAGAGAAATAACAGCACTCCAAGTTTACCTTTTCAACTTTTCTTTTCTTTCTCGTGATGTACTCAACAATTATTTAGAGAGAAGTCGTTGAAAACCTCGGTGTTGCTCGGACACTTGAATAATAATATAACTCATGATCGATACACTGTGGCGGTGTCTGGTGATTTTTATAATTTGAAAGAGAGATTTGACGCTTGATCTCATGTTCTGAGAAAATGTGTGACTTCCAATTATTGAACTATAAAGTTATACAACGCAGAAACATGCCCTTTTTCGGATCATGATGTATAATCATGGTCAACGATGTAACTTATGGTATAAAGAGGCTACAACGATTAGAATTGAAGGACTATTTTTCAAAGGAAAAATCATTTTGTTCTGGCAATTTGAATACCCGAGGATGTTTTGAAAATGCTAGCGTGCATGTATTTGATGTCCAATGGATGTTTCATTAGTACAATCTCAATTAATCCACCCTCGCAAACCGATGATAATTGATGGATATTGTTGAAAAAAAGTTATTTAATATTTTTATTTATTTTAAATTAATCTGTTTTTAATATTTTTTATATTAAAAATAATTTTTAAAAAATAAAAAAATATTTTTAGCATGTATTTTAAAATAAAAAATTATTTAAAAAATAACTGTTATCACGCTATCAAATAAGATCTAAACCAATTTACAGTTTTTTTTTGTATTTAGAATATTTTAATTTACTTTAAATAATTATATCTTTAAAAAATAATGTATACCAGAAAAAAATAATTCCTCGACCCTATTACCCAAAAAAAACTGAATGTTCGTGATGATAATTAACTATAACATTGTTTTTTTTTTTTGTTATAGAAAAGTTAAGTTATGGTGTTTAGTGCTAATGGTGTGTTTATGATTTTTTAATAAAAACATTTTTTTAATTTTTAATTCATTAATATATCGAAATAATTAAAAAATATTAATTTAGTAATTTTTTAAATCAAATACATTTTCAAAAGCCATTCAAACATACTATAATTTACTTGAGAATATAGTTATAATTATTTTTCAAATAGTTTTTCTTATCGAAATTTATGTTAATTATTTTTTTATTTTTAAAAAATTATTTTTGATATTAGTATAT